AGAACTTGCACAATTGGTGACTGACTAAATACTTATTTTCCCCACTGTATATATATATATTTCACTCTCACCTGAATAAATTTTTCATTAGATAGTATTTAAAACCATAATGAATCAGGCTAAAAACTCTTGGAAACCATAAATCCACTTGTGAACATTACCTGTGCAAAGATTCATGCTGCTAAAATGAACTGGAGCAACGTTACAGAGGATTTAGTAAATAAATAATTTAGCATTCTGTCATTCTGCACAGGATGGACCATGATGGTACCATTAATAAATGTTAAGAAATCTGAAGTTTTTACTTCCAAAAGTTATTTATTTTTTCTTACCTGCCTTAAAAGACTTGTTATTGAATGTTTGTTCTTTTGAAAAATTATCCAAACATTTATTTGTCACCATATATTATATAAAATAATGAGAAATTATATTTGACTTCAGTTGGATCATACTCACTCAAAATCAAGTGAAAAAAAACTTTCAACACACTTTACAACATATTTAGGCATCTACTTTGACTTGCTTTAAAACAATAATGTCAAAGATTTTTCCTTTACAGATTTGCAGTCATGACATTTTGTAGAGTTTGTTTACTTTCTGATTTAACTGCTTGATGCTTGGACTGTGTTCGGTGGATGTAAAATGCCTTTAGCCAAGATTCTTAGGTTTATTTTGATACCAAACATGTCCAGGTTCAACTGACAGATCTGAAGTTAAAAGAAGTGAAAAGAAATATAAAACAGAAAAAGCTGTTTTGCCCCCGGTACCGGAGGCATGGGGCTCAAGAGGTCAGCTGCTGTGGGATTGTTGTTTTTAAAGCTGCGTGTTTTCTCCTCCTGCTCTTCACAAAAGGCTTCGGTTCCAGTGGATGTGATGCCGGGGCAGTATGACCCCACCAACTACACCCTCCCTCAGCAGCCCCTTCACAGATGCATGTTTCCCTTGTCCTCCGTGTACCCCACACTACAGCTGGCCTCCAATCCATATGAGGCTAACATCGATGGAGTTAGGTAGGTGATCAGGTGCCAGACATTTCATCTGAAGTGATGTTCAGAACGCAGAGTTTGTCTCTTCCCTGCACAGGTTCTTGGGCACTTCAGGCCAGAATGTGTGTGACATTCAGAGGTACAGCAGCATGGACAGTCACCTGGAGATACTGGAGGAAACCCTTCGGCTCAGACACCTGGCCCCCACTGCACCTGATACTTTAGGTTGGTTGATGCAAAATAAGCTCAGAAACAAGGCAGTGCTGGTTCATTTCTGACAGTTTTTTGTTTGTTTGTTTGTTCAGGTTGCTACCCGTTTTATCAAAGAGATCCTTTCATATTAGAAGAGTGTCCCCATGTTTACTTCAGTGGCAATGCCCCAGCTTTTGACTCCAAGCTCATCAAAGGTCAGTAAGATGTTCAAGACAATTAAAAACCTTAATAAAAACACGGTGTTCATTATAGCAACAGTGTCAAAATTATTACGTTTTTGTCTCTTGCCAGGTCCAGACGGTCAGGAAGTTCTTTTGGTTACTATTCCAGAGTTCAGCAGCACTCAGACAGCTTGTCTGGTCAATTTATCCACACTACAATGTGAACCAGTTTGCTTCTCAGCCTTCTCCGCTGATGAAGACGAGGAAAGTGAGATGAACGTCAGTCACTAACGTGTGGACTTCCTCCCTCCGATCAGCTTTGGACCAGGAAGTCCAAATCTGTTTTCACTGATCCAGTTTAAAACTGCCTCACACTGAGCTTCTGGCATTTCTTTTAAAGCTACAATTAGCAAAACAAAAACAGCATTGGCATCTCAGTAACAAATAAGGAGCTAAAAAAGAAAGAGAGTGTTGTTTCGTATTAAAAACTTTATTTGCACCTCATCTGGACCTGAGGAAGCCTTTTCTCTTTCAACCCTCATTTCACACAGGTAGTGATTTATTGTACTGTAAAAAAAGTATTTCTATGGGTGAAGACAGTGTAAATAATTCATCGTTTTTTTTTAAGTGTGTCCACAATAAACATCATTTTTCATAAATTGCTTTTTGTTTTCAAAAGAAACACTAAATGAGCTTTAAACTCAACGTATGTAAGAAAAAAAGTGTCAGGTGTTAAGATACTTTATTCTACTGGAGTTAATATTCTGTACATTCTCACTGCTTTTGTCGTACAAAGACTTGTGATGATGTGAATCTTGAACCAGCTCAAAGCACAACAGAGATGTTTACTGTTGTGTTTGGTTTAATAGTCATCGATCTTGTACTCGTAGTTATAATCCAGGCCCGGTGTTGGAGACTGTCCCTCCCCTATAGCCCATGAGTCGTACCATGCCGTTGTAGGAATCAGGCTTGTTGTGGTGGTTGTTGTCGTCGTCGTGGTTGTTGCTGCTGTTGTTGGTCTTAACCTCAGTAATTTCTGCTGACGAAGGCGACGGATGCGCATAATTTTGAGTCTTTTTCGTTGCTCAGGACTGAGTTGGGAGTTGGTAGAAAAGCCGTTGGTGCTGCCAGCCACACGTCTGTCGCTGCCAACTGAAGGGTTGTGTGTTCTGGTGTTGCTGTAGCTGAGTCGAATGGGCTTGTTGCCGTGAAGGGCCATGATCTGTGAAGAAGAACACTTTTAAATCTGTAGGATTGGCACATGGCCATGAGGGTCAGTCAGTCCTGTATAAAGTACTTCAAAGTGATACTTGAGTAAAAGTACAAGTATCTTATCATAAAAATACTTTGGTGAAAGTTAAAGTCTTTAAAAATATTACTTGAGTAAAAGTCTTAAAGTAATTGACATTTTTTGTACTTGAGTATCAAAAGTAAATTTCTGACAAAATCTACATAACTATTAAAAGTAAAAGTACTCAGTAAAAATGAGCAGTTAGATTTTCCAAAATGACATTTATTGGGAAGTGACTTCTCCAAAAAATATTTTTTCTAACGGCGTGCAGCTGTGATGGGTTGTGTACAAGCTAATAATGTGTCAGAATGGTATATATTTATACTTCTAATACAACCACAATTAAATTCACTTTATCCAGAAGACAATTTATCAGGATAGTAATTTTTAAGTAATAACAACTTGGAATAAAATAGGAGTAACGACTTTCTACTTCTTACAATTTTAAAGTAGTGAGTAGAAAGTACAGATAATTGTGTAAAAATGTAATGCGTAACAGTAAAAAGTACGCTGAAAAATAATTACTCAAGTAAAGTACAGATAACCAAAATTTCTACTTAAGTACAATAATAAAGTATTTGTACTTAGTTACTTTACAACTCTGGGTCAGTGTGGATGGGTCTTACCTGTTTAATGCGGTCCCAGTTGGACTTGGCCAGGTTGAAGCTGCAGGCGGTTGCTCCGGACTCGTAGCCCACCACGCAGAGTTTAGTCATGGGGGAGAAGCCTTCAGCTCGGGCCGTCACACGATACTCCCCTGGGTTGAGCAACCGCCAGTAGTCCCCTGTTGGTGCTATGACAGCAAAGAATGGAGAGAGCGTTCTGTTTCAGCATGAGCTAAAACAACTGTTGTTTTTAGGAAAAGGAGCAGAGAGCTCACCTGTGGTAACGTCATGGTTTATCTCCTCCACAGATATTGTAGCGTTTGCAATGGGATTCCCTTGCAGATCTTTCACAACACCTCTAATGCCACGATTCACCTAAAAAAAACTTGAGTTAGTAAACATGGCAAATACTTTCTACTGACACTTCTGCTTAGGTTTATTTCTGTATGAGGACTTTGTAACAGAAAGGAGATCCCAGATGCATCAGGCTTCAATGAGCTTCCTTCATAAAGTGGTCGGGGTCAGCCTTACATAAGGTGGGGAGCTCAGAGTACAGCTGTTACTCATTTTCCATTGAAATACCAGTAAATCAGTTGAGGTGGTCTGAGCATCTGATTGAGGAGGTTTTCCAACAGGTCACATTGAGAAGAGGGCCTAGGCAGTGTTGTATAAACTACCACAAAGTGATACTGGAGTAAAAGTACAAGTATCTTACCAAAAAATTATTTTGGTAAAAGTTAAAGTCTCCTTTAGGAATATTACTTAAGTAAAAGTCTTAAAGTATCTGATATTTTTGTGCTTAAGTAATAAAAGTAAAAGTATTGATTTAAAGCGAGAAGTTAGATTTTTCATAATGACATTTATTAGGAGGTGACCTCCCCCCAAAAAAATGCAGAAATGATTGTTTTATTAAAATAATTAATTTATGTTAAATTTTGGATGCACGTTTTTGACTAACTACAATACAGCCTCTTATATAGTCACTGAGTCAATGAATGGGATGACTTTTGGTGGAAATACTGTGTTTCTACATACGACGACAGATTACAACCTATTAACCATTGCAAATGGCTTGGTGGGCCAGTTTTGGCCCACGGTCCCCACTTGGGGCAACTCTGAGATGTGTGTGTATATATATATAT